GCTGACAATAACATGAGCAAAGTAAAGACTGGTTGCAAAACTAAAACAGTTTTTCAAGCTCAAATTGGGTTTTGTTGCGGGAGGCCATGTTTGCTTTTTGTGAAGAGCTGTAATGGAAATCTGAAGCTTGATGTGGTTTTCTTATTTCCCTGTGTTGGGGCTGAATTTAGTCAGAGTAGAGATCCAAAAACACGGATTTGGGCTTTGAAGTAGTGAAACCTAGAGAGACCCAAAAATCTGAAAAAAACGAAATTTACTCTGAAAAAGATTATTATCTGAAAAAATAAATTTGTTTTTATTTGTCATTTCCCAAAATAATTCTGAAAGCTCATTTTCTTGCTCAAAAAAATCCCCAAAAAATTCCCAAAAAGCCACAAAAAACATTTTAATTATTTTCATCAAAATAAATCAGCTTAACACTGTTTAAAAATATTTTCAAGGGAAATTAGAATCCTATGGAGTTGAATTAAGAATCAGAGCACTCCACTCAGCTAGACCCGAAATCCAAAGCCACCTTTTCGACATGAGCCAACAAACTCATGATCTACATTATATAAACAGGGGCCCATGATATAGCTTATCAAAGTCCAACCAATGAGTGACCTTGAATCCCCAAGTACTAGTAGATTTTAGGTGGACCGTTTTGAGGACATGCACACACATGGTGCAAAGGCTCCTCTCTTGACACATGTGCATACCTCTTACTAGTGGATCTTTGGAAGAGTAGCTTCCTATGCATTTCGACTGTTTATGCACATGCTATGAGAAGGTTATATAAGTCAAGGATTTGGGTCAATGCCCTTTGTTGACCCCTAACGTTCCCATATAAGGCTATTTTGTCATCGAGCTCATATCATCAATCACATAAAATATGTGGCCCTAGCCCATCACACAATCATGAGGCTCAAAAATAATAACGGACCTTGACATAAAGGTAACCCTCAACCCTCTCAGTACTTTCCATGCATACAAATCCTCTCATAACTCGTCATTCCATGACTCTTGGTCCTAGTGCACCAAAATCCTAAAGTCATGTCCCTCTTTTACTCTTACTGAAGTTCAGAGCTATTCAAATGTCGGAATTTTAAGGCCTTGAAAGGACATGATTCCAACATCATCAACAAGAGGGTCAATGAGGAAGTTGTTGCTCCATAGGAGGAGAAGCGGAGGCACCAAGGAGAAGCTGATGGGGAAGATGCCAAGGCCTCTGATTAAAATGAAGAACATGGAGATGGTGACTCTAGCGGCTGAGCTAACAAGCAACAAGGAATTGAGCAAAAGTGAGGTTGTGGCAGTGAGCATGACGGTTGGACTGCCCTTCAGGACTTTGGATCAAGGGCTGGCCAACTAGCACTGGCATTTAGGGCCATTCCAATGCAATCAGGATGATTATAACCATTGTTCCAAAAGGTGGACCGCCCGGTGCCTAGGCAATCTAGAGGCCCTGGGCACTCTTGCCTAGGCTTAGGCGGCCCTCCTAGGCACTTGGGCACTCGCATAAGCAGCCGCCTAGGGACGAAAATACCCCTCGTTGAGGGGTTCTTTTAGAAAGCAGCGCCTATGCGCTTACCTAGGCCTAAGCGGACCGCTTAGGCACTTGGGCGGGTATAAGCGGCCGCCCAAGGACGAAAATGCCCCTCGTTGAGGGGTTCTTTTCATAGTTGTTGGAAACGCCGGGGAGCCCCAATCATTTCAGGAACAGAAATCGCGAAATCAAGCATGGCTAGAAGTTTCCTGTTGTAGGAATCATTGTTCGTACAATAGGAATCATTGAGAACGAGATTCCTAATTTTCAAGAATCGAGTATCGATCGGAATAGGTCCAAGTTTTATTTACATATGGAATCGAGATTCCGGCCTCCTTGGAATCGAGGTTCCCATCCCCTTGGATTCGACACTCTAAGTGTCAAGTTTTATTAATATGCGGAATCGAGTTTCCATCATCTATGGAATCGAGTTTCCGACATATGCAGAATCGAGTTTCCATCATAAATGGAATCCTATTTCCCACATATGCGGATTCGAATTTCCATCATTTATGGAATCATGATTCTAACATATTTGGAATCGAGTTTCCATCATCTATGGAATCGTGTTTCAAAAATATTTGGAATCAAGTTTCTGAAGTATATGGATCAGAGATCCATGCTGGTTTGAGATCGAGAATTACAATAGTGGAATTGAGTTTTCGACATCACTTGATTCGAGTTTCTAACATATGTGGTATATAGATATGTTGCTATGTAGAATCGTGATTCTAACATATTTGGAATCAAGTTTCTGAAGTATTGAAGGGGTGAGTTGGTAAGGTGTCACTGGGTAGACTTTTTAGACATTAGGAGTACCGCAATACCGTTTAGGAAGTGTCAGGTGTCATTGCGTAGATTGTGTAGAAATTAGAGGAGTTTGGGTTTTCTCAAGCTCAAGCCGTGACAGTGTGTAGTATGGGGCCTATAAGCAGTGTCGCAGCTACAATACTGCATGTTGTGCATGAAGGAAAGATGGTGGCATCGACATGTATTAGTGTATCATCTGAGGGAGAATGTGGTTAGCAAAGCCAGCACTGGAACACCAACTTGCCCTTTCAAGAGAATGAGCTATCAAATTTAAATATTTAGAGTTTTAAAGTACTACTACTAATTATTAAACATGACGGTGGTGTCTTTTGCAGGTAACAAAGGCGGCTGTAAATTAATAACTATCAGAGCATTTGAAGTTTAGATTTTTTGGAATAGATTTTTGGAACTTAGTAAAAATAACATTACTAATAACCATTTTGCAATCGGTAGTAAAGCACTAAGCAATGTTGCACGGCGAGACGTGGTGCAAATTCACATAACTATGAGCAAGGTAAAGAAACTATAGCAGTTTACATCAACGCAAATATAAGAAACATAATAAAGATAACTAAAAAAGCAACACAATCTCATTAAATTCCTTCTAAAATACATGCTTTATAAATAATCATACCCCCTTCTAGTACACATGCCGCCTAATGCTATCGTTTAGGACCTTAAAGCATGATATCCACTAGAAAATAAAGCATTACTTTTGTGGTTATTATTTACAAGAAACCAATGTTTTATATGGTGTAGATGATTCAAAACCCTGACGAAATGAGCTCCATTACATGTAGAATCGTGTATCATTTAACATGGAATCAAGATTTAAACCTCACTGGAAGCCAGATTCAATCTATTTGGGAGCGTCTACCCACAATTAGGGGGTTCAAGTTTTTCTAGATCTGTTAGATAGGAATTCCAAAATTTGGAATCGAGATTCCGAACCTAAGAAATCGAGGTTCCTTCGTTGCGAAAAAATTTTTAAAAGAAGTGTTGAACCGAAATTCCGAAATTAAGGAAACAAGTTTCTTTGGTTTTGAAAATAGATTACCAAATATGTGAGGAATCGAGATTCCGAAATTAAGGAATCGAGTTTCCTATGTTGCAAAAAAGGTTTCCACCTAGGTACGGAATAGAGATTCCGAAATAAAGGAATCGAGTTTCCGAGGTTCAAAAAAAGGGTTTCCGTGGAGCTTTCTTAATGGAAATGCGGAAACAGGTTTAGTGAGGTCCGAGGATAGATTCCAGTAACTATGGTTCTTTTAGAAAAATAAGAGGAGAAACGGTGGGTTTTAAGATCATTTCAAACCTAAACCCCATTAGAGCCTATTTTAGAGAAAGAAAAACCTCAAAAACTATATTTTTGTGATTTCCCTAGATTTTAGGGGTTCTTTCTACTGGGTCACCTAGGTTTTGGGTGCCCACCGAGGTTCTAGGCACCCGCCTAGGTTCCGGGTGCTCACCTAGGTTCTAGGCGCTCGTCTAGGTTCTGGGCGCTCGCTTAGGTTCTGGGTGGTCTAAACCCCCCTAGCTGCCTAGGCACCGCCCGACATCTTTTGGAATACTGATTATAACACTCTATGACACCTATATTAATTGTAGACCAATGCTTGGGATTGGAGTGCCCCATTTTCTAACCCATCATGTCACATTTTCTTACTATGCATTCATCTTTAACAGTTTTACAATGTTTCTGACTCTTTATTACTACACTACTAGACATACTCTTTGTGGTAGTTGATTGTGGAACTTCATTTTCTTAATATTCAATGGAATGTTGGAACTTGAAAATTGATGGGAGTCATTTCAATTTGTAATAGAAATTATATAATCATTGAATGATGCATTATATTATTATAATGTCAACGAGTACATGCCAAACCTATCAAACCAACCCTATATACAAATGGAATTCGATTTCTCATCATTTTTCCATTTCATGTATAGTTTTCCAAAATGTTTATGATTGCTTTATTTTTCCCTTATTTTTTCTACTTTTTGGACTTTTTATATACTTTTTCTAGGACTTGAACAAGATTCGGTAAGTCAAAGCCGGACTCACCAAATTCACTAATTGTGAGCAGTGGGCAAGGCCTAGAGTGGGTCCAAGGTTCAAAAGAAAGGTTAAGACTTCATCTTGTACCCATTAAATACCCTGATACCACCATTGGCTTAAAATTGAGATGAAAAAGCACATAAACATCCAAGTTCAGAGGAAATAGGGAGTAGCAATTAACACATAATTTAGTCAGTAACAACCATTTAGCCAATCCTCTTTTTCTGAAACAACAGGAGCAGCATTAGCTTCATTCCACGGCTTCACACTAGGGAAGTGAAAAACACAGATCTCCAAGATCAACAGAAAGAGGTCCTCCAAGACTCAACTATCAACCACTATTAATGTCTTCAAAAATGTTAGGGCCAACTCTCTTATAATCAAACTCTAACCAGTTAGAATCCTTTACAAATGGAATCATATATCTAAAAATACACTAAAGCTCTATGAACTGGGAACAAAAAAATTATTGTAAATCAAAATTCAGACCCTTAATGTAAAATAACAACATAGCAGCAGATGTATTAGGAATGGAACAGAAAAAATACTTAAAATTTGTCACCATATTCAATGATACAATCGTAAATATTTTTCTGCTGATACCTTTTGCTAATGTATGACATCAACCTATTTGTCACGTAGGAAATAATGTAGGATGGATAATGTCTACGAACTCCGGCAACATGCTGCATTAGAGCATTGCTAGAAACAAGGTCGCAAAAATCATTTGCTTCATAAACGAGTAAGACATATGGCACCACTGATCCCAATGATGAAATCTGAACGAAACGCGAAACAACAAAAAAACAAAAAAAAACAAAAGAAAAAAAACTATTAGGTGAAAGGTGGCTCCTGAAAGTGGACAATGGAAACTGCTAGTCATGGAATACCGCTAGATGATCAAAATTACCAGATATATCAACATGATGATGCATAAACAACAATAAACATTTACTTGTACATCTACAAACAAATCCATACAATAGGATAGAAGGGACATGTAGAAAGGAGAAAGAATGCGAAATGACAATATACATAGATTTCACTGTTTGTACATGATGATGTGCATAGCAATCCTAGTAGGGATGATCTATCTTCAAACATCATATTGCTTCCAAGACACACATCTATTTGGAGCATAACAAAAAAGCTAGGAAGAAGAATAACAAGAACAAGTACGAATCGGGCAGTTCTCTTTAGTTATTTCAGTTTATTTTTATTTTAGCACTAATTCCTTTATTTTGGAACAAGTGAAAGGAAAATAGGGCATTTTTAGTTTAAGATGTGGCTTTTAGTCATTTTTATTTATGTTAAGGTACAATTTACCTCTTAATTTTCAGTTATGTTTTGAAAAAGAGGTGCGTGTAAAGGGAGGAGGATATAATTTTAAATAAAGTGAAAAGGAAACGGAAGCTTTTGCTTGGAGCCTTAAAAGGCTTTTGGGGAAAAAACCCTAATTTGCTTCAATTTGTGCTTATGTTGACTCAAAACTGCATAATTTCTTGTATTCTTCATTGAATATCTACATAAATTGGTATCTGAGCATATATTTTGTGATCAACAAGGGAAGAAATTTTCTATCAACCCCACAATTTGCAGATTTCAACCTAGGATTTGCTGATTTTCTAACTAGGGTCTGTGCCTTCAGCCTAGGGTTTGCTGATTTCATCCTAGGGTTTGTGATTTAAACCTAGGGTTTGTGATTTCAGCATAGGTTTGCTGATTTCAACCTAGGGTTTCCAGATTTTCCGCCAAGGTTGTGATTATAGTGAATCCATGATAGCAAGAAGGGCTCAAGGAAAAGGATCTCTAATTGATCTCTCACGCAATGGCAGAGTTGAAGAGGTTGAAGTTTTCAACAGACAAGTTCAGTAGCTTGCACGACATGTACGCATCACTCATGATCTTTCTGCCCACGAAGATGTGGAGTACAACCCTAATAGGAAGTTTGTCACCGAGGATTTTGTAGGGGGACAGTACATAATCATTTGATGGAGATCCTGTTTATGATGAGCCAACCAAAGAAGATGAGGTTGAGGTGATGTTCAGCGACCATGGGTTGGCCTTAGTGATCTGGCACAACTTGATCGCGCCTCGGGTAGAGGAAGAAACAAATTGGTTGCGCAACATCTTCCATACGCAATGCAACATATACAGAAGGCTCTGTAATCTCAAAATTAATGGGGAAGCTGCGAGAATATTATTTTCCAAGAGATAGTAGATAAACTGTATTTGAATATGAAAAGCCATCCAAAGCCATGCAAGATAGTTGGTTCAAGAAGGGTAATGAGGTAACTGTTTCTAAATGCAGCTTAGTTTCTTTTTCAATTGGAAACCACTACAAGGATGAAGTGTGGGGTGAGGCAGTGCCTATGGATGTGTGCCACATGTTACCAGGTAGAACATGGCAGTAAGACAAACGCACTACACATGATGGGTTTTAAAACACCAACTTCTTTGACAAGGATAGGGTTAAGGTAGTTTTAGGCCCATCCAAGAAGGAAAGTACATCCAAGTCAAATGAGGGGGTACTGATATTTTTTCTCTAGAGGAGTTTGTGGAGGGATTGGAGGAGACCATTAAATGGTTTACAATGATTATCGTGAAGGAGCAGCCTACTAGGTCAGTTCCACCACAAATACAGATCATTAATGGGATACTATCGTGATTTCATCTTGGATGAACTTCCCAAGTGGTTGCCGCCTATGTGGGACATCTGACATCACATGGACCTTGTTCATGGGTCTAGCCTACCAAACAAGGCAGTAACTAGGACAAGTCCAAAAGAAAATGAAGAGTTAGAAAGACAGATCATAGAGCTTTTACATAAGGAATCATTCAAGAGAGCAAGAGTCCATGCGTTGTCCTACTTTACTGGAACCCATAAAGGATGGGACTTGGCATATGTGTGTGGACAGCAGGACCATTAATAAGATTACAATCAAGTACTGCTGTCCCATTCCACGCCTAGATAATATAATGGACATGCTGGCAGGTGCTACCATTTTTTCGAAGATAGATTTGAGGGATAGTTAACATTAGATCTGTATTCGGCCAGGGGATGAGTGAAAGATTGCTTTTAAAATGTGAGAGGACCTTTATGAGTCGTTTGTGATACCATTTTGGCCTCTTTAATGCTCTTAGCACCTTTATATGGGTGATGAATCAGGTATTTAAGCTTTTTATCGAGAAGTTTGTGGTGGTCTATTTTGATTACATACTGGTGTAGAGAACTATTGAGCATGCACATATAGAACACTTGTGCTTAGTGTCTGATTTGTTATGAGAACATCGATTGCATGTAAACCTAAAGAAGTGTGACTCTATGACAAACAGCCGATTTTTCTTGGTTATGTCATCTTAGCTGTGAGCATCATCAAGGTTGATCAAAAGGTTGCAGCCAATGTTCAAAAAGGTGGAGGTGGCCGCCTAGGCAGCCAAAGGTCCTGACTGCCTAGGTGGTTGGGCGGTCGCCTATGTAGGGGTGGCTCTTGACAGAAGGGGGGAGGGGGCATCTCTTTGGTATATGTATGTATGTACATAAGAAAAAGTTTATATAAGGTTGACACCTTATATTGTAAACTTAAGTGCACCTCAAAAATCAGTTAAAAAATATTGTTTTGATGTTGGAAAACCATCACATTGATCATCTCGATATCAAGATGTACAGATAGGGGGAAAAAATGATTTTAAGTCCCAAAAACAGTACATCTTGCAATACATTATCTAGACCATCCATTTTCAAGATTTTAATGCGTTTATAGATATGCTTGATTTGAACTATTTTTGAGGTTTAAAGTTTTATAATTAGAGATAAAAATAGATTCTCGGGCCTTCCTAGGAATTTTCGACACCGAATTTGTATCTTACGAGAAAGTTTGGAGGTGCGCCTTACTTTGATTGTTTGAAGTTGCAACCTTATGCAAACACACACACACACACACACACATATATATATATATACACACATATAGAGAGAGAGAGACAAAGAGAGTGTGCATGGGTGTGAGGCCTCGCATCATACATTTAGAGGCCTTATTTGTTTTTATCTTATATGTAGGGTTAGAGAGAGAAAAAACATATGCATCTATGTGTGTGACAAAGAGGCCTCCGCATTCTTTTCTTTCTTCTTCATATATGTAGAGAGTGCAAATATGAGTCCCAGGGGGGAGGGGAGAGAGAGAGAAAAAGAGAGAGAAAGAGGCCTCATATCAAGGAGGTGATCTTCTTTTTCTTCTTGGGCCCACCTAGGTGGATGCCTTGGTCTCCTAGGAACATATCTGCCTAAGGCACCCACCTAGGCCTATATATAGGTGTTTTTTTCTTTCCTGGCCACCTAGGCATTCGGATAGCCAAATTTTTTAATATTGGTTGCAGAAATTAGAGAGTGGCCCACTTGCACTAAAATTCATGATGTTCGTAGTTTCCATGAATTGGCTACTTTTTAGATGAGTTTAATCAGTGGTTTCAGTTTGATCATAGCATTTAGCACAGATTGCCTAAAGAGTGATGTGTTTGTATGGATAGATGAGGTCGAGAAGAATTTTCAGCTAGTGAAGCAGAAGATGATCGAGGCTCCTGTGTTGGCTCTTCCGAACTTTGATAAAGTCTTTAAATTGGATTATGATGCATCACTTGTCGGCATTATTGCGATGTTCAGCCAGATGGGGCATCCTATTACCTATTTTAGTGAAAAACTAAATGAGACTCAATTGCGTGACTCTACTTATGATATGGAGTTTTATGCTATCATTCAGACTTTGAGGCATTGGTGACATTACCTGATTCAGAGGAGTTTATTTTGTTCTCAAAGCATGAAGCACCAAAGTACATTAATGGGCAACAAGAAGCCGAATCAGTGACATGCTAGGTGGGTAGGAGATTTGCGAGAGTTTACTTTGCTATTCAGTATACGATAGGCAATCAGAATAGAGTTGTGGATGCTTCGAGCAGAAGGTCAGGTTTATTGATTACCATGACAACCACCATTACAAGGTTTGAGTCTATGAAGGATCTCTATGCAGATGATGTTCATTTTAAGGAGGTCGAGGTTCAGTGTGGTGATGGGGTTAGTAATGACTTTCTTATTCAAGATGGATTTCTGTTCGAATAAAACTACCTATGCATACCCATTGGTTCCCCTAAGGAGACCCTTAGAGTAGAGCTTCATGTAGTATCGGAGGGCATTTTGGAGAAAGACAAAACTGTAGTATTGGTGGAGTCCAAGTATTTTTGGCCCAAGTTGAAAAGTTTATGTTAGTTTATAGAGAGATGTCTTACATAGCTGGCTAAGGGGCAACAGCAGAATACCGGCTTTATCTCTGCTCTCCCAATATGATTTGGGAGGCTGTAAGCATGGATTTTGTGCTGGGTCTTCCACGAACTCAACAGGTATGGACTCAATATTTGCAGTAGTGAACAGATTTTACATTGGATGCTACACATGTTGCTAATTTGTACTTCACAAAGGTGGTGAGATTTATGGTATTTCGAAAACAATCACTTCAGATCTGGATGGTAAGTTTCTCAGTCATTTTTGGGGAACCTTGTGAAGAAAGTGGGCAATCGATTACAATTTAGTCGTGCCTGCCATCCATAGAAGGTTCGGCAAACTGAAGTAGTGAATTGTACTCTGAGGAATCTTCTCAGAAGTATCGTGGGGGACAAGAAGAAGCAATAGGATCTAACAGTAACACTATTGCAAGCAAAATTTGCCTATAACAGTGCTCATAGCAAATCAACTGGTAGGAGTGCGTTCAAAGTTGTTTAAGGCTGAAAG